ATTTATAAACACAGGATGTATTTATTGACTTATTTGTGCTCCTTTGTGTTCCAGAAAGGGATTTGAGCTAGTTTACCAAAACACAATACAGTGAGATAAAAATAGATAAAGGGAAAATAGGAGTAGAAAAATAAAACACAGCCAGGAAAACAGCATTACACGGAAACCTATGCTCAAAACCCCTGAACAGATCTGAGCTTCCTTGGGAACAAAATAAGTGGGAAGCATGATCATTTACCAGAGGTGCAGTAACCACAGGTAAAAACATTAGTGTGCCAGAAAAAGGTCACACAACTTATCTTGGCATCAAGGCCTGATAGAAATTTCTCCTTATCAAGAAGATATGGGCTGAGACCTCCCTGGTGGCACAAGGGGTTAAAGTGCAGCACTATGAAGCTGTCCACAGCCAGTGCAGCACAATTTTGATCCCCGGCCAGGGAGCTGACCCACATGGTGCAGCAGACTTCTCCTGACCCGCCCGCTGCTCCCCTCATTAGTGTTACTTCAGTACATGTGCCTGTTCTGCTCCCCACTCTGTCTCTGGTGAATCCTCTCACCCCTGCACCACTGCCCTGTACCCCAGTTCCTATATGCATAAATAAATATTTAAAGAAAAAAGAAGAAGAAGAAGAAGATATGGGCTGGAGGGATCAGCATATTCAACAATATTTAGATTCTGTCCTATTATTTTCATAATGTCACTTAGCATCTATGTCAAGGACTCCCTGGATTCGTCATTTAGTTATGACTTGATTTAATTTCCTGAAATGACCACATGCCAAGTAATAGCAAACAAAGACATTCTTTTCATCTATCTTGCTTTCTCTTCTTTTTCTGGTAAGATGAGGTTGGGTGCAAGGAATGGTACAGGAGTCCCCCACTGAAGCATGGGACAAAAATGCGAACATTTTGGCTTAGCTGAAACATATAAAAAAATCACTAAGATATAAAACTGATCTGAGCAGGCCATAAAGACACCACTGCCTTTGCCTCAGAACTTGGGTTATAATCTGCTGTCCTGGAACAAAATTCAAACATAAATCAGCCTCCCCTGTATTTTTAACAACCAAAAGAATTTTTCGTTTTCTGCCTGAAGTGTTTCTGACACAGGAGTCCATTCTCCCCCACTCTGGCTCTGAGAAGGGGCCCCCAGGGAGCAGTGGGGGTCCATCTATGCCCCAATGGTCAGGCAAGCCCAAAGTGGGGCAGGATAGAATGAACTCTAAGGCCTCTATGCCAGGTTAGTTAGGGCTAAGGCTAGCCTCTAAGTGTGCAAAGTTGAAAAGGACCCCCTCTGGGGTCCCTACCAGGGGTGTCTTCTCCCCCCTCTTCACCTAACCCATTGTATTTATTCTCCAGAACCCAACGTCCCTGCGAAGTTGCCCCAATACCCGCAATATTCTCTTTTTTCCTGGGCTTCTAATGCATCAACAGGTAAGTACCAGTCACCTGTCATTTGATAATATGATGTCTGGTATTCACTATTTTGGGCTTTTGTTCTGTGTTTCTAACTAAAATGTAGTTTTCTTGAGGGTAATATTGGTCCTTATTTTATATTTCAACCTTATAGTCATGAGGGTATCTTACAAGTCTGAGTACTTTATAAATAACAAAGTCATTAAAAACAGAATCCTGGGGCCCTCCCTGGTGGCACAGCACTATGAAGCTATCTGCCACCACTGCAGCGCAAGTTGGATCCCCAGCCGGGGAGCTGACCCACACGGCACAGCAGACCACTCCTGTCTCGCCCACTGTGCCCTCAGCAGCATGTTTCAGTTGATCCGACTGATCAGTGTGTTTAGTTGATCTGCTTCCCTCTCTGTCTCTGTTGAATCCTCTCACCCCCACAGCTCTGGCCTATACCCCAGTTCTTCTATGCATTAAAAATCATACATCTTTAATAATAATAATAAAATAAAACTCCCAAGTAGATGCTCATTGAATAAGACAGAGACAGAGAGACAGACAGACATTCCACAACATTCCAACTGCATGTGGGCAGAATTTTCAGCAAGAAAACAGAACAAGTTCCACTTATCTTGGCAAACAACCCCCGAGGAATCCAAGCCCGCTGCGTGTGGGGGGTGGGGGGTGGGGAGAGTAAGGGGGAGCCAGAGAAGAAAGAAATGAAAGGACCTTGGTGGATTACCCCTTGGTGTTAGTCCCTCGGTCTCCCAGTCTCCCACACACACACAGAAGTGATCAGTATCTGGCCGCAAATCACACCCCTCTTAAGTACAGAGCTAGAATAGGAATCTAGGGTGGTGTCACTCTGAAAGCCCCTGTTCACTCCATGCCACACCGGCTCTCAAACCAACCCCTCCCTTTTTTTTTTTTAAAGATTTATTTATGCACACAGAACTGGGGTATAGGCCAAAGGTGCAGGGGTGGTGAAAGACTTCACCAGAGACAGAGTAGAGAGCAGAGCAGGCAGATCAATGAAGTGCACTGCTGAGGGGAGCAGCAGGCGGGTCAGGAGAGGTCTGCCACGCCATGTGGGTCACCTCCGGGGCAGGGTTCGAACTCATGCTGAAGTGGCTTTAGCTTCTTAGTGCTGTGCTTTAACTCGCTGCGCCACCAGGGTCCCCAACTCCCTTTTAAGTATATGTCCTGCTATCAGCACTGTGGAATAAGGTTTGGTTTGGAAAATCCAAAGCTCTTCAGGAAGAGAGATGACAGCTTACCCATCATTTCCTGGGGAAATAAGGGAGAAAGGCAAGGGAGTAGCATGAGGCACACCAAGATCTCCATCACTTTTTCTTGGTGCCAAACAAATGCAGAATGAACCACTTATAAAAGAACACAGTGTTTTTCCTCCTCTTCTCACCTCCCCTGGGTTGGTGCCTGTGATAATTGGGAAGCACAGAATCTGGTTTTTCTGGGATTGGAACCAATGCTATGAAGTGTTCTGACAATAAGTGCTGTTGATTGACAGTTGATGGACAATGTTCTTGAGTAAATTTTCCTGTGCTGGATGTTAAGCTGAGAATTTCACTAAATAAATGCTCAACAGCCTGCTTCCTGTTCAGACAGAATTTACTGCACTTTCCTCCTGTGGGTCTCAATCAGGTGACCAGGAGAGATGTTATTTCAGGTCCCCTCCAGCTCCATCATTCAGTGACTCTATTAAGAAGAGAACACAGATCTGAAAACATTTTCCCCCCTAACACTGAGTGGGGGACATTACTCACACAGAAACAGACTCCAACAGAGAGATAACTGGTCATCAGGAGCTTTGATTTTGATTTTGGTCTTGTATTCTTTGACCCAGTAATTCCACTTGTGTGACTTTATCTTAAAGACAAAATTCGGAAGGACAGAGCCACGCGCAGAGATATTTGATTTAGTGTTATTGGGAGGTAATGTCCAATACAAAAATGAAATGTATTCGCTTGGTGACATATCATCCATCACAAATGATAACTTTAGAGACATGGGAAAACATCTAACACTGTTTTTGTTTTTTTTTTTTTAAATTTGCAGTTCAACATCCAGTATGGGTCATGAAATAAATATAATAGATCTCTGCTACCAACTATTTATTTAATGTAATGGATCAGAATAGAAAAGATAAAAGAGTGCATCCCTAGGTGGTAAAGTGTATGTTAGGAAACTTGGTTTACCTGGACCATAACACAAGCATTGGTGGTGTTTTGGTAAGGTCACCATAAAAATAACACGACCCAGCTGGGAGGACAGAGTCTGCAGCATTCTTTACAATGGAATTACCATAGTATAAAATACTGTACCTGAAACCAAGCCTGGAAGGGAATGCATAGAAACAAGGACTGGTGACTCAACAGGTTAGGATGCAGCACTGCCAGCTAGCTGTAGCTGCTTTACTGCGAGTTCTATCTCCAGCCCCAGAGGTGACCCACCTGGCTCAGCAGACCTCTCCTGACCTGCCGGCTGTTCCCCTCAGCAGTGTGTCTCATCAATCTGCCTGTTCTGCTCCCCACTCTGTCTTTGGTGAATCCTCTCACCTCCCTCGCACCTCTGGCCTGTACCCCAGTTCTGTATGTGTAAATAAATAAATCTTAAAAAAAAAAAAAAGATCGGAATTGTATTAGGAGTTGTAGAATAAAGGATGCAACTTTCAACTGGTAGGTTTTCTGTGATTGTTACCCAGCAGGAACACCTGAGAACCTCCAACACTACCTGCTCTAAATAGGTTCTACCATAAGCTGTGTTAAGACAAAATATACTTCGGTGCATAAGACCTTCTGGGATCCATAGGAAAGGGGCAGAAACGCCAGGCAAGTCTGGAAGGAAAGGAGCCAAATCAAAATCAAAATAAACATTGCCATTGTCAAGCTCCCCACTGATCTCTGTTTCAAGTGTCACCTTCCAAGTCCCTTAGGTCCCTGGGTTTAAGTCCAAGGCTGAGGAGCAACAGCAGCTTCATCTCATCTCTCGGTTCCATATGCCTCCTCCAGGGCTCCCTCTCCCTCTACTCCCTGCTCAGCTCCACCCTCCCTTGAGTGAGGCCAGGAACCTGGAACCTCCCCTTTCCCCGGGACCACCCTGTTACATGATGTTTGTAAACTGTTCTTAAAATGAAAAACAAGCAAGAGCACAAAACAAAAAGGAGAATAACAACAGAAACTGATTATAGATCCCAAAGGGCCAAAGGTCTCAAATGGGGCTTCCTGGAAGCCTTGCAGCTCAGAAAGAATGCGACTGAGGGAAGAGGCTGGCTAAAACTGAGCAGAATGTCACTAAGAAGGAAGATGGAGTTGTAGGGGGGAAAGCTGGCAGGGATACGAAGTGCTTCGGATCACAGTAGGAAAGGGTCGCGCCACCCCTGAGCGGGAAGCTGTTCTCAGGCCCCACTTCATCATCCTCACCTCAGGCCTCCCAAGATAAACCGCCCCTCACAAACATGGCAGCGCCAAAGCGGCCGAGCCCCTCAACAACATGGCGGCCACCGGTAGCTCCACCTCCCGCCAAAGAGATGGCCAATGAGGGGGAAGCACGAGTATTGCGCATGCGTGGTGCCATCTGGTGGGCACGTCCAGTAATGACTGGGGGATCCCAGCAAGTAATATGACTAAAAAGAAGCGGGAGAATCGGGGCGTCGCCCTAGAGGTGAGGGGAGAGGTGGGCGGGTGGGCCCCTTCGGCCGCGGGATAGAGAGTCTGCCCGGCTGCAGGTTGGAGGAGGGACCGAGGGGAGGAAGTCAGGGCGGTGCGGCTTGGAAGGGGGATGAGAGGGTCAGGAGAGGCCCCGATGGGGTACCTGCAGGTGAGAGGCAAGGCGGGAGAATGGAAGGGTGCAGAGCCTGACGTAACAGCTAGAGGTGAGGAGGCTTCCAGATGGGACGAGACATGGCGTGAAGGAGCGCCCCAAAGAGGGCGTGACACAAAAGAGAAGGACTTAAAGACTGGGATAGGAACTAAGGTGATCCTGAGGGGAGACTTGTAAATGATGAGTGCCCAAAACAGGGGATGATCGAAGGTGAGGGGAACTCCCCCAAACGGTAGGGACATGTAGATGAGGGCACCCCTCCTGAGGGCACCCCTCCCAAAGGTGAGGGAGCTCATACTATTTAGTATATTACTAGTGGCTCATCAAATATCCCCTGAGATGGGACATTTTTCCTCCAGAGTACAAGCTTGTAGCCTGAAAATTACTTTGAGAATGTGTAGGAATGGCTAAAGAAGATTCTAGTATGGTGATGTTAACCCTAGCTACAAGCCTGTGAGAATTTTACAGGTGAGGAACCAGCTTTCAGAGTAAAGCAGGGAGGAGGCGCTGAGAATCAAGCACAGGTGATTTGCTTCTAGTATCTCTTGCTTCCTCTGTTACAGTTTCCTTAGAACTGTTGCAAGAGAAATACTTTGATAGTCTTGAAGCTTACTACCTAGTTCTGTGGTTCTCAAACTTAAAACACGAAGAGTCATTTGTAGCACTAGTTTAAAAAGGACACTTGAATTCTCCCCCTCTCTGAGTAATTTATTATGATTTGGGTGAACATTTAAACAAAGAATTTGCATTTTTTTAAAAGATTTATTTATTTATGCATACAAGAACTGGGGCCAGCACTGCAGGGAGTGAGAGGATTCACCAGAGACAAAGTAGGGAGCAGAACAGGCAGATTGACTGAAATACACTGCTGAGCAGTGGGTGAGACAGGAGAGGTCTGCTGCACCATGTGGGTCAGCTCCCTGGCCGGGGATCAAACTCATGCTGTAGTGGCTGTGGATAGCTTCATAGTACTGCACTTTAACCCCTTGTTAAACCAAGGAAGGCACCGAATTTGCATTTGTAGCCAGGTATACACACCCATGCTGATATAGGTTTTAGTACCATCCTGTGAGAAATATGGGCCTACTTGGTAGTGAAAAAAAAGGCTGATGGAAATGTTCTTAAAATAAAAATGAGTAAGAACACAGGAAAATAAGAACAGAAAGTTATTAGCTGATCCCAGAAGGACCGTGGACTAACAATGGGACTTTTAAAAGAATAGTTCATAAATGGTAAAATTATATTCCATTATATAGTAAGAAGATCATAGATTTTGTAGCCTGTATTAGGACATGATAAACTGCTATAACAGAAATTCCAAATTCAGTAGCTTCAAGAACAAGAAAGGGCTAGAGGATGCATCAGCAGATGTTGTCTGTAAAGGGTCAGGTAGTAACTATTTTAAGCTTTGTTGGTCATATGATCTCTGTTGTAATCCCCATTATTCAGATTCTGTGTTTATGATTTGCCAACTTGTTTAAACGTATTTGTAACCCCCAGGTCGGTACTCACGATGTGTTCACAGTCATTCACAGACAGACAGAAAGCAATGACAAATATGAGTCACCAGAGGTGCCGTGTAACCAACTGAGGTCCAACGAGGCAGTGCTCTGCTTTCTTGTTTCAGCTGTCGTAAATGTCCTTTTGGTGGTCCGTTTAGTGCCACATTTTTTGCATTTTGATGCTTTTTATTGGTGATTTTGCTGTTTAAAATGGCCCCCAGGTGTAGCACTGAAATGCTGTCTAGTGTTCTTAAGTGCAAGAAGACTGTGCATTATCAAGAAAATATGTGTTAGATAAGCTGTGCTCAGGCATGAATTATACTGCTGTTGTCATTAAGTTCAGTATTAATAACTCAACAATAGATATTAAATAAGCTCTATTTAAACAAAAGCACTGACAAACAGGAGTTTGTATTGAACAGTTGATGAAAATGTTGTGACCAGAGGCTTGCAGGAACCTATCTTGTTTCAGTATTCACTCATTCGTTGTTGCAACTTTATAGGACATAACTACCACGAATAACAAGAATCAGCTGTATGCAGGCTGTGTTAGCCCAAAAGCAGCCACAGCCAATAAACAAATTAATGGACATGGCTGTGTTCAATAAAATTTTATCTACAGAACAGGTGGTCGGCTGTATTTGCGAACCCTGGTCTAGAAGACAGGGCAGTGGTGTTTCTACCATATTCCTACCATCTTATGGATTCATCCCGACTTCTGTGCTCACCTCCTGAATGAAACCAGGTCCACCCCATTGATGTGTCTAGTGGGAAAGAGAGGGAGTGGAGGAAGCACACCGTTCAGTTTGGAGGATCCAGGGCCCAGAATGCACTTTCCACTAATCTGAGTCAACGCTAGGAGGCGCTGAGAAATGGAGTCACCAGCTAGAAGGCTGCAGGTGCCGCAACCCCCCCCCCTCCCCCCATACCCTCACAGCTCCGGGAACGGGTAGTCCGCCGTAGTCCACAGCCTGCAGTCTCTATCTCAGATCACAACTTACCTCAGTGTGGTTTTGAGGATTAACTGAGATGATCTGTGTTTCGTGCCTAGCCCAGAGCGGGCAATGGTGCTATTATTACTAGCCTTTGTCATTCTTTTGCGTTCTTCCATCTTGGCGAACTCAGTCCTCTTGTTGGGACTTCCGTTTCCAGGCTATCCCTTGAAGGGGTTCTGGACATGCTGACAGTGGTTCAGATGCAGATCCTATGTCTTGTCTGGCTGACATGGGTTTTACAAGTTGTAGAATTTGGTACACATATACTCTCCCAGTGTCTTATACTGGCACCCATTTTTCTCATCCGCCGTTATTGCTATAAATATTTACACCAGCTGCCTTTACGGCTACTTTTTTGCTTGGGTATCTGAGACTTGAGATCTGTAACTGTGTGATTTAGAAAAAGCTTGGCATCTGGCTGCCCCCATCTTGGTCCTCCATTGCCCCCCAGCGGGTCTGAGTATTGAATGTGCTCCGATGCTCAGTAGCTGTAGATATTGTCCTCTTATTAAAAGTCGTGTGCCACAGAGCCAATGAAGTGGTGATTTAATCAAAAATGTTTGTTAATCTAACGAGTGCAATAAAACCCCCACAAGTGAGTGATCTCAGCACCTGCAAACAGTCTCCACTTGTAATGAAGCAATTACAAGCAGGCAGCACTCATCCCCAGGGCTGGCTCAAGCCAGCTGTAGCGGACAGGTACCTCCCAGGTCGACCAAGGCATCTCTTAGCCGCCCCAACTCCTGGCTCCTCTTGTGACCTTTTCATCCAACTGCTTTGCCACCTTGTGAGCTCTCAGAGTTGCAAAAAAAAAAAAAAAAGAATGGCTGTGAGATTTAGTTTCTGAGAGTTAATTTGAGTGACTAAAGAGAATTATAATTGAGATATCACCAGCTCTGATACTGATTTTAACCTTGTGTGGGAGGAGGGAAAGGTGATATTTCCGTCTTAACTGATGGGAGGGTTTTGGCTGAGGAAAAGCTTGCATTTCAGTGTAAATGGATGGGGTTTTGGCTGATGTATAAAGCCCCACAGAAATGAGCTGTTACTTGGTGTTTTTATTTTCCTTTGACAGCAAGACCTTTCAACTTGGTGTCTTTAGATGTTGGCAACCAATTAGTCTTAACGATGTGTAGTGTGTGAGTTGACATCTTAAAGGGGGCGGCTTGGTTATATCTGGTCCCTAATATGAAACTCCTACCAGTTTGGAAAGATTTTGGTTACAGGTCACTCAGAAAGTTGAGTCTCTGTGACATAACTAAATAAGAGTATACACTTTTTAAAAAAAAAAAAGATTTATTTATTTATTTATACAGAACTGGGGTACAGGCCAGAGATGTGGAGGGTGAGAGGATTCACCAGCAACAGATTGGGGAGCAGAACAGGCAGATAGATGAAGTACACTGCTGAGGGGAGCAGCGGGCGGGTCAGGAGAGGTCTGCCACACCATGTGGATCTCCTCCAGGGCAGGCGGGGATCGAACTCATGTGGAGGTGGCTTTAGCTTCTTAGTACTGTGCTTTAACCCACTGCACCACCAGGGAGGGGCAAGAGTATACACTTTTTCCCTAACAAGAAATTTGGAGGTATGTGCTTACCTGGAATTAGTTCAAATCCTCAGCTCTGCAGGACCAGTGTTGCTGCATTTTTATAGCTGTTTTCTCTTAGTCACAAGATGGCTGCCACTGCTCCAATCATCATACACAACTTGAATTCAGAAAAGAGAAAGGAAGTACAACACTCTTGGTCCCTTTTATCAGCAAAGCATCAGCTGTCAGCAAAGCATCAGCCCTCCCAGTTGACCTCTGCAACATTTCCCTGGCAGTGATAGCACTGAGGTGTAACCCCTAGGCCACCAGGGAGGCCCAGCAACATTTCATTGGCCAGAACTGGGTCCTGGGTCATGACCAGCCATGCTGCAGTGAGGCTGGGTGGGATAACATCTGTTGAGCTTTTGTAACTTGTACAGTGGAGGAGGAAAGAGCAGGAGGGGCTGGCAGTCAGGGTTGTTTTGACCAACCAACGGTACTCTAAGAAATAAAAGCGAGTGGGAGTGGTTTAAAATTCACCAGCATCCATCAGAAAAAAGAGGTCAGGATCCTTGAAAAAGCACAAAGAAGTAGGAGATTGAGAGCAGAAAATAACCAAGGCAGAATGAGCAACAGGAGGAAAAGACCCTTGATGCTTATAGTTCTTTGTTCATTGTCAGCAGCACTGTAAACTCCATGAGGGCAGGGAGGGACAGATACACTAAACGTGGATGAAGAGATCCTGTTCTAGAACAAGTTGTGCCCAGGCTGAGGGGAGCCTGCCAATTTTCTGAGACAGGGAGAGCAGCAACTTAG